ACACGCAGCCGATCCAGCGTTGCACAATATCTCGAACTATTGATAGTCTCTCCACGTTTAGCAAATTCAATCAGTAATGGCCCCTGACGATCGAAAAAAAAAAGTCAATAGCACCTTTCCCGAGGAAATGACAGCCTTTGCTTTCTTCGGGGGGGGGGGTGAATTCAAATGTTTCCACTGTAAGCTTTGCCGGCGTGTTTCAGGTTCGTAGTGGTGGCACCATGATTCGTCTCCGGTCACAATTGCAGACAAGAAGTCGTCACCCTCATTGTGATACCGGATGAGATGAGTCAAAGCAGCGCCGAACCTCTCCGTCTTCTGGCGGTCGTTCAAAATCTTGGGCATCCATTGAGCACACAAAAGCCGATAACCGAGATGATCATGAATTATGGTGTGAACCGAACCGTGACTGATGTTCACACGCTCTGCCAGTCCATCGATGCTTATCCTCCATTCTTGTCTAATCAGCTCATCAACCTGTGCAATTGTGTCCGGGGTGATTGCAAGGTGGCTTTGGCCCGGTCTTGGATCGTCTCACGTCCTTCTCTGAACCGTTTGCTCCAACGCTTCACAGTGGCCAATGCGATGCAATGTTCACCGTACACAGCAGTCATACGGCGACTAATTTCATGTTGGGAAACACCTTCAGCTGTCAAAAACCTGACCACACCACGCTGTTCCTCTTTTGGAGCGTCCATTATGTCACGCTACCGTCTTCAACCCAGTGTAAGAGCGCCTTAAAGAACTTTAACCTCACACTTTCCCGCCACTTTCGTAAATGAAGGCTGTCTCTGTGCTACGCGCATGCGCCGCAGATGATGGATCGAACCATTCTTGCTGAGGAGGGGTTGGCTCACTTTCATTTGACTCGCCCTTATATATTGCATATATGTATTCATGCAGATTCTTCATTATTTAATTTCTTTAAATATAATACAGGCGGATAATATTTAATAACAACAATTTGCAAGGAGACATGGACATTTATAGTGAAACAGTGCAAAATGCCGTTTCGAGCTAATAAAGTAAACAGTATATAAAAAAAAAATCTTATGCAGAACTAAAAATAAATTTAAAAAATAATCACTATAAAATACAAGCAAAATTAATTATTACTGTTAAATACAATTTTAATATTAAGTGTATAAAAATTTAAGGAGTCAAAAGTGTTTATCACTATGATGCATTATGAAATATGATTGAAATAAAATTCTGTTATAGAAATTGTGCTATAATACTCATCTATAATTTAAAAAAAAGCAGCACAATTTAGAATTTTAAACAAAACTTTACAAAATTCGTTTTTAAATATTTTAGTATTTTTTACTTATTTACACCAATAAAAAGCATAAAAATTGCAAGAGAAAATTGCTTGTTTGAAATTTTATATTAGTTCAGATTTAAAATATTATTTTCTAAAAGAAATAGTTACAAATTTCCTTACAGCATAGGAAAAGCTAAAAAAATATGCAGCCCTGAAAGCATGCAATAGCGTTTATAATTATCTGGAACGCTAATTATTCTCAATAAATATGCTAAATTTTTAAAAATCAATCTCAGTTTCAAAAATAAAAATATGGAGAAATTCTAATTTGTGAAATGAGGCGCTACAACCAGCTTTTTCTTGACAATTATACACGCTGCAATAGGCAACCCTATTAAATTCTTGCAAGTCGTCCCTACTCCTACGAATGTGATCAAGGTGACAACCGGCAATGCGTCAGACGAGGAAGAAAATCCATTTGTGTTGGTCTATTTTTTATAAGGTCCATGGATTTTCTGCTATTACGCCATATATTTTTAACTGCGAAACAAATACAAATTAAAACGTAAACAACGTACGCTCACAGGCTCGAAGATTTAGCGTCACAAGAGCAATAGAAGCTCTTTGGTCAATTTTCGAAACCCCTCCCTCAGTGGCTATGCTGATGTGCACTTGTGAAATATGCTCCCGGGACGAGGGGGAGGTTCCGGTTCTTGCGCTTTGTACATTAGCAGGAAAAAAAGTCATCGTTCATATTTTCAAAACATTTTAACGAAGTGCGTGTACCGCATTTGGAGTTATTATCGTTATAACAAATATGCCAAATTTCGAAACGCGCCAGCATATAAATCTACGTATATCTTAGGACATTTTGAATAAAAAAACTAATTTTTTTGCAGGTATGCTTAGAAATACATAATATTGTGTATCAGTGCTCTTAAGCTCAAAGTACAAGCGGGATGAATGCACAATCTAAATAGAACTGGCGGGACATAATTTATTTATTTTTAGTTAATACAGTGAACGAATTTTATTAATAAAATAAAATATACTTAAAACAAATTTAACGTTCACTTACTAAATGCTTATACAAATATGCACAAACGACAGTAATAATATCATTACGTAAAGTTATTCCGATCTGTGTCTATTTTCTGTCTGAAATTTTTGTTGGTTACACTTTGTTATTCAAACATATTGATACTTTTTAAGGTATTTTCTCCCTCTTTTCTGCATGTCTTCGTGGTGTAACGGTTAGCACACTCGGCGCGTATTCGAGAGGTCTAGGTTCGAGTCCCAGCGAGGGCATCGCACATGTTTCGTGTTTCCTACTTCAAAAATCCTAATGAATCTGCAAGCTAAATATTAAATTTTGAGACTCATATTTATTTAAAATATTTCTAATATTAACTGGTGTTTAATTGTCTAATATTATTTAATTAATCGTTAAATTACTTTAATTTAAAATAAAAATAGACAAATTATGACAACCTACACTATTCTCTCATAAAATGTTTCTTCGATGCATAAATAAAAATACATATGTTTATATTGTTGCGTGTCTACGGGTTCATAATAGATCGAATGTACACAGAACCGATGATAGCTTGATAAAATTGATTTCACCGAAAGAAATAATTCGCAGTTCTGGAACTTTCCACAAAAATACTCGTACAGCTCTTTACAGTATCACAGAGTATGATCAGCACTTACAGTTCAAACTACTAACAGCGTTAAGCACAATGCAATAAATGCTAAGCGCATCTAAAAGCCGAAACTCTCACATATATCTCAATGCTTCGCATTCAGTTCTGAAGTGATGCGGTCACCGGTCTTATATACTTTTCCCCTACTCGCCGAGAAATCGCTTGTACTCGAAATTAGTGGAAAGCACATGCGGGCCGGATACGGTTATAGTTATATATGGAAACAATTACAGTTATTAAATTGCAATACCCATTACAGTTATACAAAAGCTGCACCAAAATGATGCCAAATGATCGCCAGGTTTGGCGACTTTTGGAGATTTTCATCAAATTTAGCGACAAAATTATTGCTAAAACCATCGTCAGCTTGGCGATATCTCACCAATTTTGCGAGATAGCTATTACACAGTGTTGGGGGCTCATACACCTTAAACTCCTTATGATCTTCGAATATGCGACTATTGCAAGAATTTGGATATTTTATTTATTTTAAAAGCAATTACTTGCAACCTTTTACAGCTGACTACGTAATATAGCTGCTTTTGAAACTAGTAAGCAGAAAGTTTGTGTTGCCACAAATAATTTTGTAATTTAATCCTCTTTGTGACAAAATATTTTGCCATGTTTCCACCTTACGCGCATGATATTTTTAAAAATGGCTAATGGTACATCCTTGAAATTGGATGGAATTCTTTATATGGGCACTATTTTCTAACTGAACCAAAAATCTGATGAATATTTTAATATTGAAAAATTTTATGGACGAAAACATTACAGATTTTTTTTAATAAAATACATTTTATAAACTCAACTCAAAAAAAAAATAAAAATTTAACATGACATTTTTAGAATTTTAGGTTCACAGTAGTTTCCAAATGTTATAAAAGTTATGTATTAAATATGGAATTAAATTACGCAACAGAATGTTTTAAACTGTGCGCGCAAGGTGGAAACAGGACGAAAAATTTTGTCACAAACGGATTGAATTATAAAAATATTTGTGGCAACACAAATATTATGATCACTATTTCAGAAAGCAGCTATATTATGTAATCAGCTCTAAAAAGTTGGAAGTAATTGCTTTTTAAATAAATAAGTTATCCCTATTATTGCAACAGTCACATATTCGAAGGTCTTGCTGGTTTTAAGGTGTATGAGTCCCCTTAAAGAGACTATATTCTTACTTTTCCCGCAAAGCATCACCTCTTTAAATTTTCATATTACATTATTAAAATATATAATAATAATAAATTAATAACTTTATTATTATTACATATTTTAATAAATAAATTTAAATAAAATTTAAATAAATAAATAAATAAATTAATTAATAAAATAAAATAAAATAAAAAAGGATTTTACATGTTAATTTACTAAAACTCTCTAAAAATGCGTTAATAATTATCAACATCTTTATTTTTATTGCAGCTTCACGCATGATAATGTTTCGATTCTGATGAAGTTTGCAATGTTGGACAGAAATGTTTAGAAATTATCTATATAACGGATTATAAATGCCAATTGGTCAACTGAGGTTTCTTATTATTAATTTTCAGCTGTGTAAACTGTTAAAAACTGTGTGTTCTTTTATCATTAATTTTTCAGCTGTTCACATAAGTACGTATTTCCAAGCAAAACGATTCGATTAGTGCAAAAATTTGTAGCTGATCTTATTTATCTGGTAAGTACGAATAAATATAATAAAATCTGTATCTTCAAATCTTTGAATAATATTTATATCGCACTGCAAATTAATTTCCTTTATTTATAGAATTTTTATAGCCTTCACAGTCATTTTTTATTAATACAGTATTTGCAACAGAAACATATCTGAAATGTATTCTTGGGCCGAACTAAAAGCGCTTCAGAGACCTGATGTAGCAGATAGCCCTGTTTGAGAAGACTGGCATTAAAGGTTAGCGCAGTATGTTCTCTGGGCATGCGCGTAACATTTTCCGTAACTAGCGGTTCATTGGCATTGCTGTTGCTCCATTCAGATGGCCTTGGTTTTGAGTTGCTAGTGGAGAGAACGCAATATGTCATCGCTACTCTTGTGCAATACGCAAATGCGAACTAAAAGTCAAAGAAGGTAACCAACGGGCTGAAACTGCAGAGAGTGTTAGGCGTCTTATAAGCTCGTCCTGCAAATATATCGCCACCTCGTTTTTAAAGTAAGGCTATTAGGTGCGACGAACTTGGCATTTTAGGACCTAATTGAAAGGATCTGATTTGTTATGTGTAAATATATCCGATTTGAATGGAGAAGCATTTGAGTATGAAATGGACAACTAAGATTCATCGATGGGATAGCTCGTCAATTCCAGGTTCCAGACTAGAATTTCGAAGTTACCCATGTTTTCTGATGTCTACGAATTGGTACTTGTATTACGTCTCAGATTATTTTGGCGGCAAATTAAAATCGCAAAATTTTGGTAATAAATATTGGACTACTGTGCAACTTCGCAGGGAAAATGATGGTAAGAAACTTAAAGTAAATGGAATTTGCTACATTGAATCAAAAAACCGTATCTTTAATAAGCACTATTTGCATCACATTATAGACAGCGAAGTCAAACACATAAGAATTTCTAACTATAATGAAGCATGTCTTCCTGAAAATGACATAACTATATGTTGTGAAGCATGGATTACCGAATTAACAGAAAAGGAAGGAAGATCAGTGCAGACTCTGCCAACATTCTTTAAGCTGTCGGGCGATATGTATGTAATGTATCAGAAGCAGGACCACTCCGACTTGATTGCCATCTGTCAAGACAAAGAAATCCGTGTTCACAAGTGCATCCTTTCAGCCAGATCTCCAGTATTTGCTAAGATGTTCCAGCACGCCACAAGTGAAAACTCCGACAACCGAATAGTCATTACTGACATCGAACCTGATGTCTTTGAGGAGCTACTGCAGTTTCTGTATTGTGGGAAAATAAACCCGTCCACTTACTCGAAGGCCCATGATTTGTATTATGCAGCCGAAAAATATTTCGTATCGGATCTGAAAGATCTGTGTCGTGATTTTATTACTTCTTCGCTATCCGTTACGTCAGCTGTTGAAACATTAATTTTAGCCGATAGGCATAAGGATGAAGAAATGATGGAAAAAGCCGTTAGTTTTATTGCCGCTTCGTTCCAGTGCATAAAATCAACAGAACCGTGGATTATTCTTCTGCAAGAAAATCCGACATTAGCAACTCAAGTTCTTTCTTCGGTTGAAGAAATATCTGATTCCAAAAAACCTGATGAAGTGTGACGTATTTCGTGTTCCATTGTGAATCCGTGCTTGCAGTTTGTCACGGAAGGTACATACTATCTGGTCTAATTAATATGAAAGTAACTAATATAAAATTTGATGAAGCAAAAGTGTCATTTTGGTAAATTCCCCCAACTTTTCCGTGGCTATAATTGACTAGATTGTGCTGTGTTAATAGAATTTTCCCTCTATCGTTCGGAAGTTTTCCCTATTGCATTTTATATCTGCTGACACATAAAAGCAAGTATACTACTGAAATTTCTTTTACTTAAAAATGATATTATGTGAAGATGAGAATATTGTTTAAAGATTATTATGGTTAGAAATGTATTCATAATTTTTATCTATTTATAAGAGCTGAGAATTCTTTGTGATGACTGTTGCCTTAAAACTGCATGTTATTTTGTTACTCATAGAATTATCGTCTTAATGTTTCATTAATAATACAACTTATATTTTTATTGATTCTTTCATTCTATTACCAAATGAGGCAAAGTGGTATGAATGCTATGTCTAAATAAAATCGTGTCTTCTGTAAAAGCAGTCCATATTTTTTCTTTAGGAAGTTCGTTATATTAATTTTATTTCCCGAGCATTTGTATTACTGAAATAATGACATTGTTACCGAAATCTTGGAAAAAGAAAATATGCACAATAACTTATGTAACTACAGATTATATATTTGTTGAGGAATTCATTATATTTTCTTTTTTTAATTTTCCGAATATATTTGTATTGCTGAATTAAATGCAAAGTCAAATCGCTGAAATCTGGAAAAAGAGTATGAATGCTTTGTATATAATGTAGCCAATAATTTCCGTAACTTTAGTTTATTCATAAAATATATGAAATAATTTTAAAATTATAATAATAAATTATAATATATGGCTAAAGTGCAGAATCGCCCACTTATTTGTTTGGCGCTTTTTACAAGAGTAAGAAGAATTGTCTTTTTGTCAATTTTCTTTGACCTTTTTAAGTGAAAATAAGTCGATGCGTACATGGATAAAGTCAAGGTAGTGGCACAATGCCACTTTTGTGCAATTCTGGTATGTTTAAGTGAAAATAGGTCGATGTATACATGGATACCGAGTATGTGCAATTCTTAAAAACGCGCCAAGCAGTAGGCGATTCTGCACTTCCCCCCCCCCCAAATTGTGAAATTCATAATTCCTTTTTTATGAAATTCATAATTCCTTTTTTTTTTGTTTCCTGAACATTCGTGTTATTGAAATAAAAGATATAATTGCTGAAAGCCGGTAAAAGTGTGTATGAATGCTATGTGTACTTGCAATCACTACTTTATGTAACTTCAATTCTTTATGAAATTCATTGATTTTTTTTATTACCGAAATATTTGTATTTTTGAATTAATTCAAACATGCAGTTGGTGAAATCGCAGAACAGAGTATGAATGTATTGCGTACACTTAATAATCAGTATTTTCCATAATTGCATTTAATATTTTTTTTAGTAAATACATTTTTTTATTTTACAAGTATTTGTATTACTGAATTAATATAAAACGCGAAGAAAACAGTGTCATTTTGGTAATTTCCCTATTGCATTTGTCATTTTGGTAAGTGTTTCCGTCAGCTTTTCCGGGTTTATAATGCACTAGGTTGTGTTAAATAGACTTTTTTTTTTTTTTTTTTTGTTATTGTACGGAAGTAATCACTTCAAATCTGCTGATACATAAAAGCAAGTATACTGCCTTTTAATTCCTTGTACTTAAAAATGATAGTGGGCGAACATTTTACGTGTAGAAATTATTTCATAATTTTTCTAAATTTATACAATCTGAAACTTTGATGACTGTTGAATTAAATATCTATTTTCTCATGTTGTTCATAGAATTATCCTTTTAAGCTAAAGTGTATACTAATTTCTGTTTCATTAATAATGAAATTTAGATTTTTGCTTACTCTTTCTTTCTGTTACCAAATGAGGAAAATAAATGTGAATGCTATATGTAAGTACAATCAAGTGACTTCTGACAACAGCAGTTTTTTTAGTACGTTCAATTATATTAGTTTTACGAACATTTGTATTAGTGAAATAATCAAAAATACAGTTGCCGAAATCGTGAAAAAGAAATATATGGACAATAATTTAAGTAACTGCAGATTATATGTTTTTAGGAAATTCGTTATATTTTCTTTTATGAATATCCCGAATATTTGTATTGCTGAATTAAATGAAAAATGTAATCGCTGAAATCTTGAAAAAGAGTATGAATGCTGTAAGTACTATAATGTAACCAATAACTTCTGTAACTGCAGTTCATAATTTCTTTATAGAATTTATCGTGTTTCCTTCTTTTATTTCCTGAATATTTGTATTTTTGAATTAAATGAAATATACAATTAATGAAATCGCAAAACAGTGTGTGAATATAGTGCGTACACCTAATTATTATTTTCTATAACTGCATTTAATATTTTTTTAGGAAATTACCTGTGGTTTAAGACCGCTGAAACTGAGAGTTTGGTCTGTGTTCTATCCCATGCGAAAGGGTTGGGCTGACTGTATGGTTGGGTTTCATGATTTTCCCCATGTGCCAGTTTCCCTTAGAAGGTCTTCCACGAAGGCATCCTTCCCCTTAGGTAGATAATCCTCATGTGTTTTGCCTGATATACCTGGCCATACATATCAACAACCGTGGTAGACCATATGCGCAATAATCCGTAAGCAAAATGTCAAGGGAGTTTGCGGATTTATATTGAAAATATGTGTTTGAAGTAGTCCTCATTTTTTCAAAGAACGAAGCAAAAGCTTCAGCAGTATGACATGTGACTTTGTCTCGGTGCAGTTTTACTCACTTAAAGGCAATGGGATGTAAGAATGGAATTACGTTTTGGGAATATCTGACATAAAGCATTTTCTGGATAGTATAATGAGGTAAGTTTATCTGTTCTTTCTACATTTCTTAATTTTAATTTCTTATTGTGAGAGAAACCCGTAGCAATCTTAAATCTTTTACTGAAACTTTCTTTATATATTTGAAACCAGGTTTTGGACGCCTTTTTTATTTTTGAAATTTCCTCGAATTTTCTTAGAGGCATGTTTCTCATTTAAATAATTCAATACTAACTTCGCAGAAAAAAATGCATAAAAACTCAAAACATCTTCATTAATTAAAATTAGAGTTTATACGCAGAACCAAGAACTTCGTCCAAGGAGCAAGAAGCTTTTCCGATGCGCAAAACTGAAAATTTACTTTTGGTCGCTCTGGGCAAAATGGCACCGAAGTTGGTGCAGCAAATTAACTTAATTCACTGTATATTAAGAGTTTAAAATGTAAACAAATGGCGTCCTCGTTGAGCCTGCTGCCACTTAAACTTTTAAATAGTTGATAATTCTACATTGCATGTAGATTACCTAATGGCATAAAAACCTTAACTGGAACATAAGAACAACAAAATTCAATCATTTTTGAAACAAAAAAATGCACAATTTACCAACATATAAGAATAAAAAGAATGAGTTCACCGAGCCGAGAAACTGAGTGGATATATATATTTATATAACTTTGGTGCGGCCGATTGCAACCAAAAACGAAGTGCTCAACTACGTGTTATATCAGTCCCATATGAAAAATATCAACGTTCTGAGACTACTCATTTTTGAACTATGCAAGATACCTACATCACAAAAAAATCTCTTCTGTATCCGTTTTTCAAAAAGTTTGGAGGAAACTAGTCCTTTATTCTGAACTTATGTACAGGCAAAAACATCGTTCAATTGTATTCGAGAGCGGCTCAAGTGCATATTTACATTGAAATATGATACCCGATATTTTCTCCCTGTTACAACACTTAATTTAGTTCGTACAAAGAAGTAAAAATACCTTAGAGTTAGGGTTTCAGAATTATGAAAATAAATTGACAATGGAATCAATAGTCTTGAAGTTAAAAACTTTTTTAGTTACCCCAAAGTATGTAATAATTTCTTCCAAAGTAAAATGATAATTTCCACCACCATGTTTTAAATGGTAGGTACGTTATAAGGCAGGGGTTCTCAACCGGTGGTACGCAAAAGAAAAATAGGTGGTGCGCAAAGAAGCAAAGCATTTTTAACTATTAAATTCAAGCAGTAAAACCCCAACATCCTGATTGAATTTTTACTCTAACATTCGTAAATTTATACGATCTGAGCTGTGTTCAAGAGTGGTGGTGGTAGTAGTACTGTAGAGGCATTAAGTTCTTTGTGGAAGTAAGAAAGATGAAAAATAGAAAACGCCTTCGCCGGGAATCGAACCACAGACCTCTGGAAATACCGGCCCAGCGTGCAGAACCACTACACCACGAAGGCACGCTAGGAAAGCGGGAGAAATACCTTATATACTCCCCTTTTTAAAGGACGACTGGGGCTTTTAGGGGATCCAATCACCAGATCCTGGGGTGTGGAGAAACCTCATCCAACACCCTTTTAGTTCGAGCGCCAGTGTAGAGACATTAAGTATTTGTTAGGAAGCCGGAGAGATGAAAATAAGCAATCGCCTTCGCCGTGAATGGAACCATAGACTTCTGGAAATACCGGCCCAGCGTGCAGAACCATTACACCACGAAGGCACGCTAGGAAGACGGGAGAAATACCTTATATACTCTCCCATTTAAAGGGCGATTGTTGTTTTTAGGGGACCCAATCGCCAAATCCTGGGTGTGGAGAGTCATCATCCACACCCCTTTTAGTTCGGGCGCCACTGTAGAGACATTAGTTTAATTGAAAAAAGCGGAGAGATAAAAAATGAGCAACCGCCTTCGCCAGGAATCGAACCACGGACCTCTGGAATACCGGCCCAGCGTGCAGAACCACTACACCCCGAAGGCACGCTAGGAAAGTGGGAGAAATACCTTATACTGTCATTAACTTTTATAAAATAATTTAGGTTTGGTTCGGATTTGGTTTACCAAATATTTTTACACAATGTATCTGAAAATAGATAAAGATATAAGACAATACAGACAAAGAAAAAACGAAAACGTTTCGACGCATTCTTTTTGTAATATAAATGTTCATTTTACTTGCTTTGTACGTGACGCTGTCATTTCGTCTGTTATTTATTTAAAACTTTCGCATTATTCTGTGTCATAAAATTAGAAATTAAAGTTAATGACCTAAAACTGCAATAGTATATTACAGTACAAGTGAAAAAATTGACAGTTTCACTCACGCGTGTGTCGGATTTGTGGAATGATTATGGGGACCCACAAAATTTTCGTAAATATTGTGGGGTCCTGGGGTCGGGAAAAAATCTCAGTGATTAAAAGGGGTCGCGACTGAAAACGTTTTTTAAGAAGCCCTGCGCTAGATCTTAAAACATGTCACCTCCCAGAAAAAGCAACACTTTTTGCGGTAAATAAAATTTAGAATGAGCGTATTCTATAGTTTTCGGCAAATTTAAGTTTACAATATTTATTTTTCAAATTAGAATATTCCCACCAATTCAGCAATTTCTAGCAAAATTAAAAATTCAGGTTCCTTACTAAACGATTCATCATCGTTAGGATATTTTACCCGTATAAATTCTTTCAGTACTCTTTCTGCTGTATTTTCAGTCTAATGAAACCTGCTTTGCATATCCACCTTTGAAAACCTAATAAATTAGCTGCGTCTTCAGTTTTAAATTTCGCATTGATGCTGAAACGAAACATTTAATGGTAACCACTTCCTGTTCGATTGCATTAAATTCACTCTTACCGTGGGATAGCACATTTTAGTTTGTATTAAATGAATGAATGTTGCCTTTCGCTAATAGAGTCATCTGGCGCCTGTGTTACGCAACATCATTCGAATTTATTCGTTTTTCACCGTTCACCGTCGTCAATGTCATTAATAAATCATGCTTCTTTTTATTTTATTTTGTCTTTAGAACAGAAATTTCGCTCCGTGTAACATAGTACTATGGCATCGATTTTTATTACGTTTTGTACGGGAATTATTTTGCATTCAGACATTGTATGAAATCCAAGACAATAATAATAACATAGATTACATTTTCTAGCGTATTTTAATCTCTCAGCTACATTTAAATCAATTAACATTTTACATCTTTTTACATTCGATTCGGTGCATCTAACTATACAATTAGTTTTGTCATTTTTCGCTATTAGCGAAACATTTAATACACTGGTGTGCACAAATTAAGGACGAAGTCGAAAAATTAGCATATCAGCTGAACGAAGAGGCAGAGCGGACAGAAAGACCAATCAGGAGATTAAGTAAGGTGATGTACGGTAGCACATAGGCAGATATGCAGGTAGACGTAATGGGGGAGTGTCTGAGTAGTATAAAGCATGTTGTCGGTGTAAGATCAGTATTTCTGGCAAAGAGATTGCACGCCGTATAGCAGTTAAAATCACACCGAGTTGCTGCCTCAGCGAGAAATGGCGAATAATCAATCTGTTAGACGACATCTGGATGCTTTTACCCGAGGTCGAATCATTGGGAAGTTGGAGGAAGGCCGCAGTGTGACAAGTGTGGCTGCAGAGTTCGGAATTGCTGACAGCATCGTTTCGTGACTTTGGAGACAATTTCAAACTACAGGAACAGCTATCCGGGGGTTAAGTAGTGGTCGTCCACGAGGAACCACACCCGCAGATGACCGCTATATTACCTTACAGGCCAGAAGAAACAGGCGGCAGACAGCGGGAGAAATCGCTAGACACGACACAGGCGACTGGACGACCGATATCGCGTTTTACCGATATCGTTCTGTGGAGCCGGGAACACCGGAATTGGAGAGACAATGAATGGGGACGAGTACTCTTTACAGATGACAGCAGATTCAGTCTGAATAGCGATTCTCATTGCATACTCATCTGGAGAGAGCGGGGAAGCCACAATCATCCCTCGAACATCATTGAAAGGAACAGGTATGGAGGTGGAGGTGTTCTCGTTTGGGGAGGCATCATGCTTGGTAGTCGTACATACCTTCACATCTTCGACGCAGGTTCAGTCAACGGGACCCGTTATTGTAACGAGATTCTTCTTCCATATGTGCGTCTTTTTAGAGGCGCTATGGGTACGCAGTTCCTTTTCATGGACGACAATGCACCATGTCATCGCACAGTAGCTGCCGAACAGCTCTTAGAGAGTGAGGATATTGAACGTATGGATTGGCCAGCACGATCTCCGGATCTCAATCCCATCGAGCATGTATGGGATTTTCTAGGCAGACGCTTGGCAGCTCGTACCTTACCCCCAGTAACGATTCCGGAGCTTCGATTGGCGCTGCAAGACGAATGGGCAGCAATGCCTCAACAACTCATTAACACCCTCATTCTCAGCATGGGCAGACGCTGTGAAACCTGCCTAGCAGTCAGGGGAGATCATATCCCCTATTAAAGACCGGATGTTCCTTGCTGGACATCCATCACAGGGATGTTTCGGCCTGCAGTCGCATTGCGCTCCATGCTACTTTTTCAATAAAGCTTCTTTTTATCCCTCTGATTTCTCTTTTAGCAAGTGTTGCTTACATTACTCATGTCCTTACGTATTGGGGATCTTACGGTATTAAATGTGTTGATTTGGAA